GGGCTCCCTCGTGTGGAGCTTGGCGACCGCTCGTTGGACCTCCCGGTGCTGCGGCGAATCCTCCGGGTAGCCGAACTGGACAAGGGCCTCGACCAGGGCCTGCTGCACCTCCGCATCGTCATAAAGCGTCGCGTCCTGGAACTCTGGATCTAGCAGCATGGCTGCCGTGTGGGCGGGGGTCTTGAACATGGTGCGCCGCCTGTGGAACACCTCCACAATAGCGTCCTGCTGCTCCCGATCAATGTCACGACATGCGGATAAACAAGATGCAATCATTTCCTCGTAACGTCGTAGAATCTTGCTAATCTGGCGTGTGTCGCTGTCCACCAACTTCAGCATGCCCATGATGGGCTCTAGCATCTTGCACAGAGCTATCAAATCCTCCCACCATGGAGGGGAGCCAATACATGCAGTGACCTCCGCTGCATCCTTGCGGATCTTGCTGGTCGACCAAACAGTCTCGCGCCAGCAATCGTCGGCCATAACATCTGTCAACGCGGCCCGCAGTGCCACCAGCCTCTCCATCATGATGACGTTTGTGCCGAAACGCGTCTCCGCCGGTAGCAGAAGAGTCTTCGTCGAGTGCGCCTCAAGAACCTCTCTCGCATGTCCATGACGCTTGAAGAACCTTGTAACCAGCCTCGCTTGAGAAATGCGGGAAGCCACCCAATCAATCCCGCCGATGTCCTCAAGAATGAGATCCATGATGTGGGCGACGTTCACCCCGGCGGAGTCCGTCACAAACGCCGTGATGTCGCTCAATTGAACGTCCATGGACTTCACCCTTTTCAACCATGCGTTCGTGAGGGCACTGGCGTCCTTTTTGCCACGCATGACGTCGGTGGACACATACACCACCCCGATCTCTGTACCAACAAGGTAGTTGCACAACGTCTGACCACGGATGTTGGTCTAACCATCGGTCATGATTGTACAACCGGTCTCTCTCGACGTGTCAAGCACCGGCCGAACACACTTCTGGACCTCACCATCCAGCTCGTCCAAAAGGGTCGTGCGCAGCATGTGGTACGAGGGAAGTCTAGGCGCGGACGCCCCTGGAACCCCCGACGGGATTATCATCGTGAACATGCGTTTGAAGCTTTAAGCTTCGTGCTGTTGAACGGCATCCCGCTCTTGACGATGAACCGCATGATTTGCAGATGTCATGCGCGCTCCAAAGGGTCCGAATAATATGACGTGACGGCTTGCTGCCTGTAAGTGCCCCGACATCGTCCCGTCGTAGCTCTCCCGCCGAGGACCCCAACATCCAATAACCCGCCAGGGCTCACAGGTGTCGCGCTCTGGGCGACTGCAAGGTCACGAATGCGCTGCAAAGGGTCTAACGTTCCGGTCAACATGGGTGGAGGCTGTGGGGCAGACCGACCACCGCCCGTGGTTGTCGGAACAGGGGTCGGCGATGAATCGGACACCGGAGCGGGGACCTCCTCGGCAGGCACCCCATGATCCACCTGTTCCCCGAAACGAGGCACGGAAGCAGAATGTCGAGCATCTGCACGTGCGTGTGACGGATCTGGGTGGGCGGTTCCGTGAGCATGGTGGACCATTGGACGCTGCGCCGCTCTCGACGGTGGCGGTGGCAGCCAGGGGTGCTCCGACGAACTGCGGGGTGATGTGCTAGGTGCCACCGCAGTACCACCCCGTGCGGCATCTGACTGCCTAACACTCCTGAAAACAGGGGCAAGCGCGGGCGCTGAACTGCCGGCACTCCCCCCCCACCTGCGACTCTCAATAAATGCAYGTGTGCTCTCCTCGTCAAATGCCGCAGAGCCCACACCATCCCTCAGAGGCGGGGGCTCGTTGGCTGGCGTGGACAACCAACTCCCACATCGCGATCACCTCGTGTCCCAGCCAGCGGCGCAGACGGTGGGGCTGCCGATCGTGTTGCAACTGTTGTTGCAGGACGCGGTACCGTGACTCGAATGGCCGGAATCCCAGAATTGGGCGATGCGACGGCTCCAGAAGGGGCGGTGGGAGGAACCAGCGGCGGCACTGCGTCCTCGGGGAATCGAAGAGGTGGCCACTGCAAGCTCGGATGACCTGGCAAGTGGCTCTGCAACGTTTCTATGGCCGACGCGAACTCCTTTGGACATTTTGTCATGTCCTTCGACCAGATTGCATTCCACACAGCAGGAGTGGCTGCCTCACATCGGAACTTCTCACTCTTCGAGAAGTGCTCCTTGGCGGCTTTAGCGCCCCCACAAATCGAACGCCCGCACAACCTTCACAGGCATCGACGACCGCTCTTCCTGCCCGCCGTCGTCGACCCATCCAAATAACGCCCTCTGGCCACGAAATGCCACACCGGGTCGTCCCGCTT